TCTGTAGATGTACTGTAGATCATTCCTGATTCGTTTCTTGTTTGTTGCCTATCAACTATGCAAATTTTTGTGTACCGTATTGTAAAGTGCTAAACTTTAAGTGACAACGACTGGCTCATCAGGGCAGGTCTTAACACCTGAGTCAGAAACATCAATATTATTTTTTTCATACAAGTCAGGGTTCTTCGTTTTGCACAGCCAGACTGGGCCTCTAAACTTCAGTGCGAAACTTCAGTGTGGGATTTGTCATTTTCTGCTTGTAGTCTTTGTCAAACTCTTCATTCTGGGACACAGTGAAATGGGTCTTCCAGTCACCAACTATTCCTGGAAACCCACAGAGAGCCATTCAAGTAAATCAGTGCAATCAGTGGTAAATGTTTTGAGTGGATTGTGGTACAAACAACAAAAATCAGAGCTTCTTTCCCAGTAGACATTTTCCACTGTACCTTTTCTCATGAAAGGAGACACCTTTTGATTCATCGTATGCACTGTGGAATAATTAGTCATGTTGTTTTGTTTCATATTGTCAAACTTGGATCCAATTGCGACTCTTTCCTTCTCCTCGAGTGAAGGAGACAAACCAAGAAAGGAACAGAGTTGGTCTAGCTCTCGTCCAGTGTCCTGCACACATTAAGGAATCTCATTGTGACAGTAAATCATCGATCCATCATTGTTATCCATCTGAACATCTTACAAAGGCTTTATTATTCTTAACATCTCTATATGATATTGAGTTCTATACAACAGCTCTATGTCTAGTTTGACATTTTGGGAAATACTTTAAAGAGTTAGATCTGAAAATTGGCCAGAAATGAACAAGCAATTCTTTTGCTTAGTGTCCTTGAGGTTCATGTCAAGAAAATGAATTAGCATATTTCCCAAAATGTCACACTATTCTTTTCACTGTAGAGCGCACTGTAATTGTTCAGGTAAACAACAGTACACATTAATGACCAGAAGAGTTCAGATACAAAATATTTTCATTGAATGAATGAAACCATACTTAAAACCTTTTCCAAAGTACATCATCATCAAATAAAGGCAGTGCTTACTCAATTGCTTAACCATCTAGATAATTTCAGCAGTGCTGTTAAAATAACACACAGACACCTTAGCTCACCTCAATCAGATCTTCATAGAACATGTAGTGAATTTTTGAATACATTTGTTTCTTCTCCCACCAGCCGTTCACATGGTCATACCAGGATCCAAACTGCACTGAAGCCAGAGAACAATACAGGAAGGAACATTCAGACAAGGAATGAGGGGAATTTGAGCCTCTTTCTCAATAAGAGTACTTTGAACTCACCCTTTCCTTTCATGAAATCCTCTAGAAAGGTGCTCCATTCTCCTGGTTCTGGCTGGCCATTGCTCATTTGACCAAAGTGGAAAAAGGACACGGCATTGTCCTTTGCATTACGAGCCACATATACTATCTATAGAAAGATTAAATATTACATCAGATGGATCATAACTTGGATCATAAATCATTCATTTCACAGGCAAACTATGTGCATGGTGTTTACCCGGCAATTCTGCTCCCAGAAGGACTTGGGTACAAATTGGACTGGTAGATGAGTTTTAATGAGACGAGGAGTGGTAGGAAGCTGATCTGCACAGTGTTTACCTGTGTGAAGAAAAGAAAGGCTTCAACACCAACTTCATGGTTAACACTAAAGAACAATATGGCTAATAGACAAAACAGTTGTAAGGTGCTTCTGAGACCTTCTGCTTGGCTTTATGAGTTTATACACTGAAAAACTGATGATAAAACACTGATAACATGGTACCATGGTCCATGGCAAAAAATAAATGAATAAAAATCACTGAAGACAGAACTTTAACTCTTCACAACACTATTGGGAAAATGTTCTGTGGACTGATGAAACCAAGGTTGAAATGTTTGGGAGGAACATGCAATCCAAAATGAGCACATCTGAAGTGGGCTATAGGTGAAGTGAAGTATGCTGGAGGGAGCATCATGATATGAGGCTGCTTTGTTGCATCTGGCCTTGCCATCATGGAAGGGGAAATGAATCATAGACTTTATCAAGGTATGTATCTTAGCTTAAGGACACTGTGCTTGTCTGTACTTGTGACTAAGGTGAAGATCGCATTCTATGCAGAAAACCATGTAATTACAGAGGCTTCACATATTGTATTATGATTTTTTTCATAATATTAATAATGACCGTCAATGCAAAGGAAAAGGACTGGCAAAGGAAAAGGAACAGATCTCATGTTACGTTTGTCAGTTGGTGCCAAGTAACCATCACGGAGCTCTAGTTTGTAAAATGCCACGAGAAAGTTACACAATGAAAGTTTTGTGGAAGTAGCCCTTACGCTTATAATGCACAGCCAAGTGTTCGTGCAAACAAAACAAAGTTGATACAAATTGTTTGAAGATTTTGTATATTGCCTGTAAAATAAATATCACTCTGCAAACAGTGGGGGATGAATTATTTAGATCCTTTACTTATGAAGAACTAGCATAACAGCAAAAATAAGTAAAAATCTGCATTAAAAATATTACCTAAATTAAAGTATTTAATTTGTATTAGTGGGAGTTTAAAGTTGTATCAAATGGAAATAAGCAAAGTACAGAACTTAGAGATTAGTATTATCTTTATGCCTCCGCGCCGGCAATAGCCATGGCCTGTGGCATTATGTTTTAGAGTTGTCAGCCTGTCCATTCACCCGTCTGTATGTCCAATTCCTGTGAATGCAATATGCTAGGAACACCCAGGGAGAATTTCTTTAAATTTAGCCCAAGTGTCCACTGATGAGATTTTGGTGGTCAAAGGTCAAGGTCAATGACCACAATTCTGTCCCATACCTGTGAATTTGCCTGTTTGGCAGAGACATAAAACCACAAGGTGTTAATTCTAGTTTTAACATAAACATATCCGAGGGACTGTGACCACATGATTCAACCTTTGGGTTGAGTAGATGTGCTGATCTCCAGGAAGGGCACTCTCTCATGAATAGGGATGGAGGCCTGACGCTCTGGACACGTCTGCCCAAAATACAGAAGGTCCAGGATGTAGGAGACCCACGTGGTTCCTGACATTAAAACAAATACATGCTGTTTAGTGGCCTGAACATAGGAGACAAATTAATCCAGGGTATTCATTGACATAAAATTAGAACCATAATAAGAACATGACTACACCACAGTTCCACAGTTCACTCTCTTACACACAATTCCACCTGCTTTAGGGTAGGTAGCTATGAGAATATCATCTGGTCTCGCTTTGAAGTTCTGAATGTTGTCCTTGTTTGGTCATGGAGACTCCATGGAAGTCAAACAGCGTTGGTCGCGGTGACAGCTCCATCTGTAAGAATCTATAAATTTTAAGTCTAAAAATTATCAGTAGTAATGGCTACAATCAGTGAGTAACTTTTACAGTAATTGCAGAAATATGTCAGAGTAAAATCAAATGAACACACCATCAATTAAAAAGTGTCTACTTGTGGTTATGAGGTTTGTTTGTCTTTCTGGTTTACTCCTAAATATTCTCCAGATTGTGAATTAGGTTTGTGCTTCCACATTTTAATCAAAATCTCAAAAGTTAAAATGGTTAATAGTTAAAATGGCTTAGTACAAACCTGTAAACATAGAAGCATACAGGCAGAAAAATATCACTATTCTGTTTGGGCAAACATACAGGCAGAAAAATATCACTATTCTGATCATTTAGTATTCTGCAAAATAAAATTTCTTTGCAGCACATTTGAAAACCTACCATGTTCCTCGAATTCAGTCTACTACTGCACACTCACCAAGCTGAGTATCTCACTGCATAAACCTCACTTTCACATGCTGTACAATTTCTTGAAATCAATAAAAGGCATGTACATACTGTTTCCATGTGTTGCCCAGTATCAGCTTTGAGTCTGACTAGTCAGACATGTGAATGTTAAAGGTCAGATGCTAGCCTGGTTAGTTCAGTTCTTACAGGATATTACGAAATACAAACTTTGTGCTTGCTTGTTTAATCAGTTTTATTGCTCCACACAGTGAAACAGTCAATTGGATGAATGATTTAGCTGTTTGAGTTACAAATCATTTTGGTGCTCACATAAAGAAATAGTGCCTCATAAAGCCCAGTGTCATAAAGATCTAATTATGATAATCATGTATAACAGGCAAAGAAGCAAAAGGTTCCTTTGGTATAATCCCACCTTTCAGACATGTTCCCTGCCCCCATGAATTTCTGGAGGTAATTGCTCAACTGTCCAGGCTTGGACAGACGCACGGGCATGTGTCCAAAGTAGAAATAAGTCCCAGGGGCTCTATTTTCATACAAGAGGACGCAGTGCTAAACTCCAAGGGCAAGGTGAATATGGGCGTGTTCAATGATGTTTTGCAATGTTGGTGACCACAGATCAGCTTTTGTGGGCAGCCAGGCGTTACTTTCCCTGTATCTTCTTCTCTGCCAGTTACGTTCTCCATTCTTAAATAGATAGTGAGAAGGCTATTTATGTAGAAGTCCTGCACATAAATATTTACTCAGTAGTCTGCCAATATCACTAACCCGAGTTTGTGCATAGAAGACAGTCAGTCTCTGGTCCCATAGCCAGCAGCAATTATATAGCATAATTTGCTCACAGCTACATCCAGTGCGCAGAGTCCATGGGAATCTTGCATGTAACCTTATCATAATCGCTGCATTTGTGGAGAAATTAATTGTGGTCCGTCAGAGCGCACAGCCAGTGGATGTGTCGTTCACTTTATCTCCACCTACAGCTGCTTTCAAAGCTGAGCGATCTGCCATAAAATGCAAAAACAGACAGAATATATTCTCGCAATAGCAAACTTACTCATTTGAAGAAACTCTAACCTAACAGTGACAGCAGCGCACAGTGAAGTCAGACTACCTTTACCTGCTGTGTAACAGGATTAAGAGACATCTGCAGGGTGTTTGTTATTTATCTTGAGCAAGTGTTAGGGTTATTTTGTATAATATTTGTTCTAAAATTAAATAAATTTGTAACTGGACATTTTAAATGCATCTTTAAAGGTTACTTCAAACTTCAAGAGCAAGTGTTGCAAAACTCTGAAGCAGAATCTGCTATGGTTTATGACCTATGCCTCCTGATTTTGTGTTGTTTTTCCCTGTTTCCCCCTGCCATTCTGCCACGTCATGCCAATTAGCTCTGATCACCTCCGACCTGCAGCTTCTTCCCGAACTCACTACACATACTGTAAACATTCCCCTTTTCCTCATTTAGGTCATAGTGCTTTGACGCGTTGGTGAATTCATTCAGTGTGTTACCCTAACCAGTCCAGGCTTACTACAATCGGTGAGACCTGAACCACATTACCTGTCATCCTGATCTTCGGCATGGGTGTGGCTCCCCCAGTTTCTGTTATGGTTTAAGTCCGAGGTCGGTCAGGAGGCTGACCTCGGTGCCAGGCTTGAGAGCGTTCAGGAGGACAACCTCAGCACCAGGCTTGAGAGCATAGCGGCCGTTTAGGAGGACGACCTCGGCGCCAGGCTTGAGCATAGCGGCCATTCAGGAGGACGCCCTCGGCGCCAGGCTTGAGAGCATAGTGGCCGTTCAGGAAGCTGACCTAGGCGCTGGACTGAGGATGGTTGGAACAGTGGCTGCAGCGGCAGCACAGCTGGGACGTAGTACCCACAGGCAGGGGCGGCACCGTCGGCGACCCCCTCTAGAGCTGGAAGCAGTGCGGCGCCGTCGGCGAACCCCTCTAGAGCTGGGAGCAGGGGCGGCGCCGTGGGTGAACCCCGATCCGCAGGGGCGGCCCTGTCGGCGAACCCCTCTGGTGCAGGAAGCAGGAGAGTGGCGTCGTCGGCGAAACCCTCTGGTGCAGGAAGCAGGAGAGCGGTGTCCTCGGAGACCCCATTGGGTGCAGGAAGCAGCGGGAGAGCGGCGGCGTCGTTGACCCCCTCGGGAACTAGAGGCAGCTGGAGGTCTGGCTGAGACAAAGGCTGGGGGGCACATGGAGGCCGCAGCTGGTGAGAAGCAGGCTGGGGGGCACGTGTAGGCCGCAGCTGATGAGGGGCGAGCTTGGAACC